GCCCCGTGTAAAAGAAAAAGTATATTAAAATAGATACATACATATAAAAATAAAATAAAAAAGTTCCTGTGTACGGACATCCAACCTAGGAGTGGAAAAAATTCCCCGCCCCCCTCCATCCCCTCCCTCCAACAAAAAAAAAAAAAAAAAAAAAAGGGTTCTAATACCAAACCACCCTCAGATCGAATCCTGCCAGAGGTGTAGGATCGACGAATGAAGCTTCCATGAAGTTGCGATGAAAGTTCGGTCGGGCTATCGCCTCGCTCTACTACTTTCGTTTCCTAATTACCGAGCGAACACCCAGGCAGGTCTTCTTTTTTTTTTTTACTTTTTTTTTTATATACTTTTTTCTTTTTTTACTTTTTTTTAACTTTCTTTTTTTTTTTTTTTTCTTAATAATCTATATATATTCCTGCGAACATCCGATGGAGGATCGGTGGAGATTGCTGAGACCGTCTCTGTCGTCTTCAAATACTGTACAAGTTGCTTGTGCTTGGCAGATTCTTGCACTGCCTACTACCGTCTTCACCCGAATAGAACGTACTGTCATTTTATTTTATTTTTCGCTGCATCTGGACTGCCAGTTGGGTCGAATACAGACAAAGTGACCGTACGTTCTATTGGGGGGAAGACGGTAGCCAACCATCCTCATCTCGTAAATTAGGTTGGGGAAAAAGGGGAAAAAAAAGAAAAGGTAGGGGATAGCTCTCTCCGTGAATCATAATTGACTACACGACATGGTTCGGTGAGCCTTCAGAAGGTTCAGTGTAGACTCAGTGAAGGTTCAGTTCGTTGTCGGTGAGGTTCAGTAGGTTCAGTAGAGGTTCGGCGAGATAGCTCTCTGTGCGCCATTACATTCCCTCCTCGACATGGCTCCGTGAAGCTTCGGTGAAACTTCAGGGTAGGTTCGCTTTATGTTCGATGTAGCTTCGGTGTAAGTTCGGTGTAATGAGGTTCGGTGAAGCCTCGGTGCAGCTTCGGTGAAGCTTCAACATGGCTCGATGAAGATTGGGTGTAGCTCCGGTTATCCCTCCTCGACATGGCTCGTTGAAGGTTCGGAGTAGGTTCAGTGAACGTTCGGTGAAGGTCGTTGTAGATTCGGTGGGGTTCGGTGGGGTTCGGTGTAGGCTCAGTGTGGGCTCGGTGTAGGCTCGGTGTAGATTCGGTGTAGGTTCGGTGAAGGTTCGGTGAAGCTTTGGTGTAACAAGATTACATCCCGCCTCGACATGTCTCTGTGAATGTTCGGTGAAGGTTCGGTGAAGGTTCGGTGAAGGTCGTTGTAGATTCGGTGGGGTTCGGTGTAGGTTCGGTGTAGGCTCGGTGTAGGTTCGGTGTAGGTTCGGTGTGTCTTCGGTGTAGCTTTGATGTATGTTCGGTTCGGTGAGACTTGGTGTAGCTTCGACATGGCTCGGTGAAGGTTCGGTGTAGCTTCGATGTAGCAAGATTACATCCCTTCTCCTCCACATGCTCGGTCAAGGTTCGGTGCAGCTTCGATGTATGTTCGGTGTAGGTTCGGTGTCGGTTCGGTGTAGGTTTGGTGCACGTTCGGAATTCGACAGTCGTTACTTCCCTACCACTTGACATGGCTCGGTGGATGTTCGGTGAAAGGTTCGGTGTAGGTTGGTGAACATTCCGGATAGCGCTCTGTTAGTCATTAACTCGCTACTACTCGACATGAATGCAACAACAGGGTGTTTTCTTTACTTTTTTCTTTTTTTCTTTTTTTCTTCTTTTCTTTTCTTTAAGAGGGGGGGGGGCGCCTGGGCGACTCAAGGCATAATATTCTTCCATGGGCAATCGTGTTATGGGCATCTGTCACCCAGCGTGAGATTCAACATGAATATCCAAAATATTTCGAATTTTCGAGTTTTACAAATTTTATGCATGCCCCTCCTAGATTCAGCCTTGCTTTCTGCCTTACTGTTTTTGTTCTCTTTACAAAAAAAAAAAAAAAAAAAGGGAGGATATTGGCCTGGAGGTATCACCAACGAAGAACAGATCGGCCCATCGTAATTCAGAATTCCTTCATCCGATTCCATCAGGATTGGAACTCAGGTCTGTTGTATCATCAGCTCAGTCATGGATAAACCATTCAGCCATCCATTCACTTATTAGAAAAAATAAAAATGATATATAATTACTTCACTACTACAAAATAATATCAAAACGAGACGGGGTACTAGCTTGCTCTATCTCTGCAAAATTGTTTTTTCTTGCTTTTTCTTTTCGTCTTTTTTTATCCTTTTTTCTTCTCTTCTTTTTCCCTTCTTTTTCTCTCTTTTTCTTTTCCTTTTTTTCCCCCTCGACAACAGCAGTTCACTTCCAACTTGCACCATTGCCGTACTCACTAGGATTCTCTCTCTCTCTCTCTCTCTCTCCCCCTCTCTCTCTCTCCCCCCCCCCCCCCC